GAATAAATAACCAATATGCAGCTATGGACATTTTTACAGTAATGGATATTTGAAAATAGCAGCAACATCAGAGATTTTATTTGTTCCTGCTCCCGGCTGTTGGAACATTTATTCCACTCTGGATTCTTGTGAGTGTAGTTTTTGTTCACTTTAACTTTTTAAAAAGTAAATAAATAAACAAACAGTTTTGATAACCTCGGTATTCATTCTTTTCCTGCTTTGTGTGTCAACTTTCACGGTTGCTAAGCAACAGAGCATTCGGCGGTCAAAACCCGCCGAAGGGTAGACCTGTTCAAATTCACAGCCAAAACTCTTCCGACCTCCTTGACGCAGCTCAGGGATAAAGTCACATGCAGCGTCGTGCGCAGTGCCCTAGTGCCTGTAAATTTAATGGTCCAATTAAGGTAATTTAAAAAATCAGGACATTTCCTCACTTTCTAAAAAAAACCCGGGACGCCCGGGACAGGACATGAAATACGGATATGTCCCGGGAAATACGGACGTTTGGTCACCCTACTAAAGGGGATTTATCTTTGTTTTTCTGGACGGCAGACTGCATGTAGCTTCTGAGATTCCCAACCCTAAATATTTAGTGTCTGGAACAGGAGAGAAAAAAAAAAAAAAAGCCTGACACAGATTTGGGTCCCTAATTTAATATACGACAGTGGGACGGGTTGCCTCACTGGCCTGGCTGGTAGAGCAGTCACATGGAGGATGAGTTTGGCTGCCAACTAGTTAATCCTCAGTGGAACTAAGCAAAAAGACAGAGGAACAATGTTAACTGGTCCCTTTAGAAACATCGCATTTTACCCAGATTTACTGTTTGAGTGTTATAATTTAGTAGCAACGATATATAATCAACTCATATCTCCTTCACATTCAATAGGTTAGTTTATCTAGGTAGGGACATCTTTCAAAAACTCATTTAAAGCCGTCATTCCTAAAGCAAAGGCATGACTTATTCTCAGGGAACAAAAAGAAAGAAAAAAGCCTTTCCTTCCTTCTATGGAAGGTAATCAGATCCAACCTTCCTCTTTAAATTCCTTCCTTTCTTCAGACATGATTAAAACCTCATCAACTGTACCAGGGTGGACACTGTCACCTGCTGCTTTCAAATCAGTAGTGTCGTATTTACACAAGGCTGTGGTGAGGCGGGAAGCCCGCTGTTTGGAAATGTCAACCGACAACAAAGGACCCGCTCTACCACCAAACTGGCTGTCATCAAGTGGGAGTGGCCGGAATAACAAGTGAGGCAACAAAATGATTCAGCTCGTTCTTACCCGGAGAAGTCCGTGGAAAGAATGCCGTAGTTAAAGATGAAGACTCGGCTCACGTGGCAAACTGTCAGATAGCCCATTGCTGTCACCATGGAGTACCTGTGTGTGAGGGAGTAAACATAAGCTCTGCAGACAAAAGGCCATTCACATATTCTTTGGGAAAGATTGCAGAAATTACAGGAGCATTTTCCCACCTCTTGGCGAATCATTATGGTGACTCACAATATCTCAATGACTGAGTATATCCTCAAACATCTTAGAGGAGCTTTGTTTTTCTTTTGTTTGTTTTGTTTTTTGTCTTACAGTTTTTAAGAAATGTTGGGAAATTTCTAGAAAAACTTCCAAGGAAAGATGTTTGCCACATCTGTGGGCGTGTACTTTGGATTATTACTATTGTTATTTTGCGTTTTTCTGTGAACTATAGAAATAATTTTCAATCCAAAGCATCTACGTGACCTTGAAAAAGTTTTAACACCCCCTAGACTTTTCCACACATTATTGCAATACATACAGATACATTATTTTAATGGATTCTATTCGTATTTTTTGTTATAGACCACCACAAAATAGACAAAATGGTCAGTGAAGGTCAAGAAAGAGTTTGTTTTCTTTTTTTCCAAAATGTCATATAAATAAAACCTGGTGTGATCTCTAAACCTCTTAATAAAAACACACCAATGGAAACACTGGAAAGGTTTCTGAAGAACCCAAACTCAGGTGAGAGAATCTGCCCCAAGAACAAGAGTCAGATAAAAAAACAAAAAGTTAGGGTTACTTTCTGGTTACTTTCTAACCTTCATGAAAAGCATATGGCTAGTTATGGGACAAAAGAGATGTAAAACATAACAGCTAAGTTTTTCCATGTTAAATTATTCGTCGTGATGTAGTTTTTTTTTTTAAAGACATGAATCTATTACTCAAAATTTGAACGGTTTGCTTTAAAAAATAAGCTTTTTTTTAAGAGTCTAATGAAGGCAATCTCTAAAAACCACAGCTGTGGTTTTATCCACTTCTCTTTAACAATCAAACTGACTGAACCAAAGTCAGAGAGTCACAGAGTCACAGAGTAAACTTTCACAACTTGTATCTGTAAGCTTGCATTACTACTAGAATGAGTAACACCCAACAGAAGAGCAAATATATACACACAGTAATAAAAACACATTTTTTTATCAGAACTGCGTTGATGAAGGATCATAGAAGGTTTAAGGCCAGCCTTTATAAAACAACTTAGGTGAGACTAATTTGGGTTTCAAAAGCTTTTGTTTACAGTCAGCACTGCAATGCTGATCTTTATCTTGCTCAGCTGGCCGGAAATCCACGTGAATAAAACAGGAATTTTTCGACAACAGATATCGTTAAGGTAAATGTCTAATCTTAGCCCACCCATAGTTATTCACAGTTTCTGGGAGTGACTCAGATAGTCTGACAAGATCAACCAGAAATCAAGTGAAACTGAAGGCTGCAACAATAACTCTGGAAACGGAGTTCCAAGAAGCTGTTCTGTCGTTCTGTGTTGAAATCACAAGACAGACATGTTCATCGGGTCTAGAAACAAGGTTTTCCTTGTGGAAAACCACAAGACAGGCAAGTCCTGCCAAATTTCCTTAAAGGTATGAAGAAAAACACCTGCCTGTGTACGTTGTTGATGTCACCTTTCAAGATGAGTAAATAGTTTACAGCCACCACAGCCAGGATATGACCTGAATACCTGCAGGAACGAACACACACAATCAACAAACAATTAGTCTATATAGAAAAACAACTCTAAAGCATCAAAAATACGTCATCTGTAAGAAGATTGCGTCCTTATTACCAACTCGACTCATTTAACTGACTTGGATTAGGCTGGATTGGATTACAGATATATACACTCTGTCCTATCAACATAGCTAGATCAACTAATTGTAGATGAAAGGAAATAAATGGAGCACTGTGTGTCCATTATTACAGTACCATCCAAAGCAGAAGAGGAGAAAGGTGATTCCAAAGAGTGTGGCGACCATATGTCGGAGCGCAGGGCTTGCATATTTAGGACTGAGGCAGAGACGAAACCAGAAGGCAGCAACGAGGGCAAACAGCTGGCAGGCCAGGAAGTTCACCTGAAGGGATCACAGAGGGGAAAGGTTTAGAGTAAAACAGCTCAAAATGCTTCATTGTGGCTTTAAGAGATGCTTTACCATGGCCACTCCAAAATAAAGCTCCACAATGTATTAAATCCTAATAATTATTACTGTATTAATCAGAGCAGTATCACAGTGACAAAGCTAATTTGAAAAAATACTGCTGGTCACTAGGGTGTACAGTCATTTCACAGTGAGGGGTTCATGGTGTTTTTACTATTTGAGAAGATGAACATGGCAGCTTTATGAATAGGAAAAGAATTGACAAGGCTTGTGGAGAACCACTACCATTTTCTACCAATCTTAGATCAATTCCATTCCTTGTTCTAAAGCCTTAAATTAAAAAAAATAAAATAAACTAGATTGCTGAACCCAACAATAAATGTATGTAGTAAATAAACTTGAGAAGAGTGTTGTTGTCATTTTTATCTATGGTCAATTAAATTGTGTAGCTCTGGAAAAAAGTAATTCCCTATAAGGAGAAAAAAGAAGACTGTCAGGTTTGTAAAGGTTACACCCACCTAATCTAGAAAGTATTTGATATACAGAGTTAGTCTGGATTAGGATTAGGGGTCCAGATCATAAAGTTTACAGCCATCTGTTTAAATAAAGATGAAGAGACGTTTAATGAATTATTTACTGATGTATTTCCTCGATCAAATTTTGTATTAGATTGTAGTTTTAGACTGAAGAGAGCCTAATAATACACAACAACAACAACAAATAATTATATTGAATTTTTTTATAATCAGACATACAGAACTGGGCACCAAAACTTGGTAATGGAGGATTACCTGTAAAGTTAGACATGCTCATTTAATCAGCTGACTGTTTTGATTTTTGGATGTAGATTAATCTACAATCTCTGACGTCACACAAAATCGGGCTTAAATGTATGCCTCTCCTCGCGAGGTTTTATTGGATTAGCTCAACTTTAAACATAACAACAGAAACATTAGAAAACTAGCGAGGATGTTTCCCTTAAAAACTTCTTGTCCAGTCTGTCCTACCTGGTCCAGAGACAAACCCACTGTAGCGCTGACAGGCAGCAGCCACCTGGAGCCGGTGGTTTTAAACATCGCGTCCTCCCGTTCGCCCATATGTGTGGATTTTCAGTCCCAAAGCTGCGCTTTTTTAGGCTGCTACCTTTTTAAACTCCGTGATATTGTCAGTCTGTGAAATGCATGCTCTGCCTCAGAGGGTGTGTGACAAGCCAAACCAGTCCTGTCCTCCGGACTCTCCTCCTTCTCCCTAATGTCCTCAGCATCAAACGCGCTCTAATTAGAAGATACCCAATTTCCGGTTAGTCCTTCAAAAATAAAAGCCGGGGCGAAGTTTTATTTCCCCACATTTAGCGTGGTGGATACCAGCAAAGCTGTTTTGAAAATGCATGCTGCATGGTAAGTTATTTCTTTCTCCTTTCGTTCAACGCTTTTATTAATTTTAAATAATAAAGTAGTATCTATTTCACATCACTTCCGGTGATTTTCACATTAAAGCAATTTTTTGTCCAACATTTGATTAAGATACTGTTTTGTGTGCTTGGGAATCCCATGTAAAATATGTAAATATAACAAAATCTATAGAAAAAGTTTATTTAAACAAACAAACAAACAAAACAAAAAAACAATCCCCCCTTTCATTTGAAACTACAGTATGTTTTAAGTGACGCAGTGACTTCAAAATAATGGTATTGTATACTTAATAAATGTTTATGATAATTTTTGAATTTTTGATTTTTGAATATATATACGTAAATTTTTTTTTTTTTTTTTTAATTATTAAGATTTGTTTTAGATCAAAATTAGCTCCTTAAACTTTTGCTCACTTACTAGCATGCCTAGGTATTCCTGGTTTTAATCATTGGTAGTTCTTGACCAAATTTACTAAGGGGCCCAGGCAAGGGCCATTATTTTTTTTTCTTTTTATCATGACAAAAAAAGAAAAAAAAAATAGGGCAATAGCTCATCTCATAAATAAGAAACAAAGCAAAGGTTGCAGATCCCTGATCTAACATAGGAACACTGTGATGCTATCTAAACATTGCTGAAGCTTGAAGTGATATTAATAATAACAACCTAATTACTGCATTACTGTAAAAGCAGACTGAAATATATATATTTTTAAAAAGGTCCAAGAAGCCATTCAGTTAGTCTCTTTTGTTAAGTATATCATCATCAGAAATTGATTTAGTATTATGTTTTGAGTACAGGGGCCACAAAAGGGACCACAACCTGCTCTACAGGGGCACTGCCCCATGTTGGCCCCTCTGTAGAACCGCCCATTAATTGAACTTACTGACTTGCTCTTTCAGTGGCTGATCAAATAGCCTGTTATAGTTGGAATAACTTCTAATTTGGTCAAACTACAACTATTGATTTTTATTTACATTTTTTCAGCAGCATCTGAGTATTTTTTGTGAAATATTTCTATAGGACTCAGAACTGTTAATGAATGTTTTCATGTTTTGTTAATATTTTTCTTTTTTTTTTTTTTTTTTTTTTTTTTTGAAGTCTAAGTTAATGTTGTGTGTCAACAATATTCCAGGCTGAGGAAATGTTTGAAAACATAAATTTAACTAAACATTTGATTGCTGCTTTTAATTTTTACTAAGGACGTTTTCCTTAGCTTTTAAGTTGAATTTAGTGTGCTCCTGATTCTCTTACAAACTGTATGTTCTCTGTTTTATCCTCTGACATTAGAACTGGCTTAAGGCTAATCTGCTTGGCTTTCCTGGAGTGGGCCGCCTGTGGTGCTGGTTTACAGTTGCCTTTTGTATCTCTGCTTCTTTCTTTATGCTTGCTTCCACACACACTGAGTCTGGTTCTGCTGGAGGTTTCTTCCTGTTAAATGGGAGTTTTTCCTCTCCACTGTCACTACATGCATGCTTGGTGTGAGGGATTGCCTTCAAGTCAATGAGCCCATGCAATAAGCTGGTTTTCTTTAGATAGAAAAATTTGAACCAATCTGACTGTATGATCTGGTTGAATTGTCTCTGTAAACTGCCTTGAGATGCATGTTGTTAATTGGCTATATAATTAAACTGAATTTAATTTAGTTTAAAGTAGGCTAAAGAGTTCATGTGAATAAACCTAAAACAAATGTTAAATAAAATATAGGTAAGATCTTACATATGTGCAAATCTTCAACTAAACATTGGAAATGATCAAATGCCTTCAAAAACAGTTCAAGAGATTTTTTTATATTGCAAGATAGCTGCTGATCTTCTATGACAGCCTATAAGCCTATATCAACAAATGCATTGAGGACGTCAGCATCACAAAGAACATCACCACCCGGGCCAACCAACCACCCTGGATGAATGGAAAGGTTCGGAAATCACTAAAAGCATGGAACTCAGCTTTCAAGTCTGGTGACAGAGAGGCTATGAGGAACCATGCTATCAGATCAGTGAAGCAGAACCACAGCCAGAAGATCCGGGATCTTTTCCACAATGCCAGCAACACCAGGAGGATGTGGAAAGGCATTCGGATGATCACGGACTACAACACACACCCCCAGCACACCACAGCATCTGATGGGAAAACTGAAACAGCTGGGATTCAATACACCCCTCCGCAATTGGCAGCTAGACTTCCTCGCCAATAGACCTCAGTCAGTCCGGCTTGGACCAAACTCCTCTAATGACCCCCTAAGCACAGGCTCCCATCATGGCTGCGTCCTCAGCCCACTGATGTTCACTCTGATGACACATGACTGCGTTGCCAGGTTCACCACCAATCAAATCATGAAGTTTGCAGACAACACTGCAGTGGTGGGCCTCATTAGAGACGACAACGACCTGGACTACAGAGAGGAGGTGGAGCAGCTGGTGGACTGGTGCAAAGATAACAGCCTGATCTGAACATGGAGAAGACGAAGGAGATCATCTTGGACTTCAGGAAGAAGCGGCCTAACCAAAGTCCACTGATCATCAATAGCTCAGCTGTAGAGGTGGTCAGCAGCACCAAATTCCTGGGGGTGCACATCACAGACACCCTCACCTGGAATGTAAACGCCACCTCACTGTTTAAAAGGGCACAGAAGCGCTTGCCCTTCCTGCAGAGTATGAGGAGAGCCCACCTGCCTCCACCCATCCTCACCACCTTCTACAGAGGTACCATAGAGAGCTTTCTGACCAGCTGTCTCACTGTGTGGTGTGGAGGCTGCAGCGCCTCAGACTGGAAGGAAGTGAGGAGAGTAGTGAGAACAGCAGAGGATCAGCTAGGCTCCTCTTCCTTCCATTAAAGACATTTCATCCCAGCGCTGCGTGTCCCGTAACATCATAAATGACCCCTCACACCCCCACCATGGACTGTTCTCCCTGCTTTGCAGCATTCAATGCAGATTCAGCAGATTCAAGAACAGCTTCTTTCCTACCGCCATCAGACAGCTGCATGTTGAAAAACTCTAAATCATGTCACAGACGCTGCATCAAACTGCACCATGTTTTTGTCTTCTCCCACAATGTTTACATTTGATCACTGCTGCTGCTGGAATGGAAATGTCATGAGAGCTGTACAAAACGAAATTGCATTTTGCATACACTCTGTGTATACCAAATGACAATAAAAGTTGTCTAAGTCTCTGAGTTTGTTTAACCTTTTCCTTATAATTTACTGCTGATTGAAAGAGTATGAGGATAACACTGACCCAATGGTCATGTGGTTTTACTGTAGTAGTTTCCATTATGAACTGGTTTCCTATATGTAATACTACCACTAAATTAATTTACTTTCTCATATGGTTTCATTAGATTATTATTATCAATTATATTTTTCACTGTAAATTTGTTTTCTGATCAAATGTAATTTTATCCAGTGTTATAGGGGTCAAAGGTCTATGGCATTCACACTGAAAATAAGTGCAGCTAAATGAAGGTTTTTAGCAACTCTTCAAAGGCCATGCAATATTTAATTATTTTGAACTTCTTCCCCATTTTTTAAACATTCGTGGCAACTTATTTTTCAGGTTATCTGATCTACAAGTTCTATTTGAAAATAGAGTTAAAAGAGAAAAAAGAGAAACAAGAGTTAAAACTTGTATATATTTTTAATTTTGTTTTGGTTTTGTTTATAAAGACTGCTATAGTTACTGATGTCTTCCTCTTTTCACCACAGTAGGTCATTTGCGCCACCTAGCGTCCATTCTTAAAACATGCAGTGCGTGGCCGGTGACGTCCCCTGTTTACAACTGCCAATTAGCACGTGGCGGACACAAAGCAGATCCCCCATTGGTCAAAATGGGCGGAAGCTCAAAAGCGAAGAACCTATAGCGTTTGTCATGCAAATTCCGTTTGAAAATTTGCCGGGAAATCCGAGTTTCGCGGGAGGGCTCTTGAGCGCGCAAACCGTATCCCTTCATTCATCAGGCCGTTTCCTGAAGCCATTTCTAGACGGGAGGAACGAGAGTTGCGCTACTTTTAAATCCGTCGCATCTGCCTAAATGCACGTTCTTCAGGAAAAATCATTTTTAAAAATCGATCCTTCAGACATTCACCTTCACTTCGGTGTGATTATTTTTGTCTCTCTCGCGACTGATTAGCAGCCTTACGGGCTTTAAAGTTAAGAGACAAGAAAAGGGGTTACCCCGAATACGCAAGATGAGAAGAGGGATCTCCTCGGCTCCGGACAAAGTGATTTTAACAGGGGTTGGGGGCTCCTCTCTGGACAATAATCTCATTTTAACAGCTCTCTCGGACCGTTTAAACCCCGGTCAATCTAATACCACGTATATTCAAATAATAACCACCCCACCGCCTTGTAATGTTACACAGACATCCAATGTGTGTTTATCCGAGCCTCAGGTTAACAGCATTTATACAACTCCACAACAAGCTGCTGCAAACGGAACCGGACAGCGACCCTCTCTGGGAAGACCACCGGTAATAACCTCCACAGCATTATTTTCACACATTTCTGGAACTACAAGCAGCCTCCGGTGGGATAACCGTTAGCCTGCTAAGCTAGCCGAGCTTGTTGTTCGCGCGGCTAACGTTAGCTGCTTTAGCTTTGGCATCCCCACGACTATGAAGCTAACTAACTAACCTCAAAAAGAGGTAGTTTGGGGAGTTTTGTTGACTTTATGAACGCAGAAGGGGAGTTTAGGTTAGTTTAAAGGAATAATAGGAATGAAGAGCCGCCGTGTAGCATCGAGCTAGCCAACTTCATGGTGATTTAGGGTCCGCTTCACCTTTGCAGCCAGATGGAAATATCGGTAAGGGATGAGTGGCGTTAGCGTTGGCCTAGTAGCTGCAGTTAATGTCTTTATTTGCCTTTTTTTAAAGGGGTTTAAGTGCTTGGGGTTTTTAACGGCTTTATAACCAAGCTTCTTAATGATACAAGAAGCAAAGGTTACATTAAAACACAAAACTTCTACACGAACACAGCTTCGCATCAGTTTTTCTTTAAACTACTCGATAGATTATCGCCTCTGAAGATGCAAGCCAAGTTAAACTGCGTTAGCTTTCAAAGCTAGTAGGATTTATTGATTATTAGACTGGAGTGGGACGTGACTCGTTGTGTTCAATGACCTATATTTATTTTTTAATAAAGTGACATTGGTGAAGCCAAAGTGAAACCCAAGTTTGCTGCTTTTGAATCTCCTTGCTCGTTTCCTGTGTTGAACATCGCAGAAACCACAGTTAATGCAGAGTTCAGGGCGTAGAGCTGTTTGATTGCGATTCATCTTTCATGAAGGGAAGCAGTTAGTGTGTCAGGCTGGAGCCATGACCAGGCTGAGGGGGTGAGGGGGATCTGCCTGCTTATATAAAATGGCTGACTCTTTAAAACTGTCAGAGGACATATTCCCTCCTCTAGGTGCCAAAAGATTACTTTTATTTTCTTTTAGAAGGTTGAAGATTTCCTGAATATTGCTCTATCCCCCCTGTTTTAATAAGTGCAGTCATGCATTACTGTTTTGAGACTAAAACGAGCTGGGTGCTTTCTAAACACTTTGTTTCTTTACAAAGTGATTTAAATCCAGTGTTTCAGGGTAAATTTAACTTGGATGTTTTTGCAGGGAAGTATTGGAGCCTCTGCAAGATGGCATGCTCCCAGGCCTTTAAATGCTGTGTGGTAATGGACCAAGTTATGGTTGGGGGAGGTGTTGAAGAAGAGGACGCATACCATTTCAGAAATTGGTTTATAATCTTGGCATTTGCCTATTTAAAGCCTATTTAACTCATTAAGATGTTTGCGCATAATTTATTAGTAAAAATCCAACTGAAAATAAATGGAACTTAATTGAACCTTATCTGATTTTGCTAGGCCTGGTATATATTCTTACCTATATCAGAATGTTTGGTGTATTCCTGACGGGTTTTTTTTTTTGTTAGATTAGGGAACATAATCTTAAAGTATATATTAACACCTTAAACAATAGGAGTTAGAGACATTTCAAAATCTAGTTTGTTGGTAAAAGGGTGTCTTAGGCTACTTTCACACTGCAGGCCTTGATGCTCAATTCAGATTTGTTTTTGCATTGTCGTTCACATTTCCAAATATATGCGACTAGTATGTGATCTCTCTAAAATGCATTCATACAACTTAAGTGTCCTGCATGCGCAGTAGAGGACGCAATGACGTCACAAGCCAGCATGCTCTGTGTTTATGGAATTAAACATGGATTTAGTGCTGGAGCACATCTAGAAATCTTTCCAAACCTTAAAAACCTCAATCTTTTCAAGATGGTTAAAAAAAGTACTGCTCTCCGCACCATCGTCCTCCATGGCGTTTGTTTTTCTTGCTGCTTCTGTGTAGCAAGACCCAGAATAGTGACCTATGTCAGATATTAATGGTGTTCAGGTTGGATGAATGCGACCTGGCTGTTCAGACACAGGTCGTTTTTGAAAAGATCAGATTCGTATCGAATTCAGGACCAATGAGCCAAGCAGCCTGGGTCGCTTTGGAAAAAATTGGATCTGTGTTTTTCAGACGGCCATGAAAAGATCAGATCCAGGTCGCATATGGGCCAAAAAATTAGCATTTGGGTCACTTCAGGCTGCAGTGTGAACGTAGCCTTAGATGCAAACTTTTTTTGTACTGTTTTAGGTGGAGCTCTTAAGGCTAATATATCACTTCCAAAGATCCTCATGTTTGATATCGGCTTTGATGAACAATATTTTGAGCTAACGGAAGCCCAAGAAAATTAATCTGTAGATTAATAGCAGTCCATATCACTATTACAATATTTAGTTCTAATGCTGCAGGTGTTTTTAATACTGTGCAGCCCTAGGAAGAATTGCATGATGGTGCACATTTCCTTTCCTTTGCTTTACTCTGCAACATGAACACATATCCACAACATAGGATGTTTCTATCTTTAGGTTTATGCGAGTTTTGTGCATGTGAGGATGCATGCTTCAAACTGGACCCAGAGGCTAGATGATGCAAATACAAAGAAATTAAGTCTGTGATCACAGTTTTGGTGTGAGCCTGCATGGAGAAAAAAAAAGGGGTGCTTCAAAACAGTATTACAGGTTTACAAAAGGAGGACCTGCTTTTAGAGCTGTTTAAATTACATTTCAAATTTCGACATTTCACTTAAACACTAATAAACCTAAGACAATATTTAGAATATACTTTTGTTTAACATTCATTTTCAAGTTTTTGTGCAATCATTAAACATGTATTTATTCCGCTTATTTTAGAGCAAGACCAGCTGACAGGGTTTTAGGCTTCATACTAAAGTAGTCGGGTTGGAGATGCCTTTTAATAGGCATGTGGTTTGCAGCTTCAAACGCCTCATTTTCCTTAAGAGGACTTGGTGCTTAGTGTTTTTTTTAAACATCGTTTTTTATTAAGTGTGCAGAAAATGTGTGAAAATGACAAGGGTGCAAACTAGAACTGGGCAGTTAGTTGCAATTGCGATATAATATAATTAAACATAATGCAATTTTCAAATCACACATGAACTTTATTTTGGTCCTATTTCACAACAGGACACTACATTTCTTACTCCAGCCCTATATCCGTAGTTAATGCACTTAAAGAGGGGTTGGGGCCATAAAGAATGAAAGAAAAGGCTGCGCCTAGCATGGAGATCAATGCACGCAAGGAGGTGGTTAGCGTAAAGTCCTGCAACTATAGACTCTGGACAATCAAGTTTTCATTGTCCTGAAAAAGCAACTCTTTAAATAAATGAAATATCCTCATGTGGTTAAAGACAAACTGAAATAACATCACACATTTTAATATTGGTTAAAAATAATTGCAATTTTAAATGTTATTGTTCAGCCCTACTGCAAACCTAGAACTATGCTGAAAGATTTTACATTTTAACACATGGTCATCCTTTCATACATGCCACTTTTGCTCTCCTACTGCTCTGCTTAAACATGGAAAATGAATACGTAAAAGCCAAGTTTATGTTAGGTAGTTGATTACAAAAATATGAAGATTTATTCTGATAATCCATCTTCACTTCTATAAATGTGCAAAATGCTGTCGTGCGGTTGTATTTTGTTTTTGCGGCAAGATTATTAAAGTCATTCCCAATTTATTATTTTTCTTATATAAAGATGGCCATCAATAGTTTCATAGTTTGATTTAGGGATTGACTTTCAAGCATATGTAAAAAAACAAAAACAAAACAATGCATATCCACCTCCAAACATGGTGTAGGTATAACTTGTAATAAATATCCATATATCTATTATATCTTAAAATGGATATATCTATTTTGAGTTTAGGCTTTTTGTCTTATATATTAAACAAAAATACTTGTCAGGATTTTCAGGTCTGTTTTGACTAATTTAATCGTTTTGATCGCATACTAGAGTGTTTGTACCCGGCTGTAAATAATAAGAACCAACTTCAGGCTGCCAGTCGCTCGATTAGTCCCTATACCGAGTCTGAAAGCACAGATACCCCATTTATTACTGGTCTGGTCGTATGAAATTAGAAGCAAGAATCATAGCAAGAACTTGGTAATGAATGCCTGCCCAACTTGATCAGACTTTCTGTTAAAACCTGTTTGTTCCCTTCCAGGCAAAAAGGCGGTTGGCGCTTGACGATTCAGATCACCAGTACCAGTCAGAACCAGCCAAAACACCAAGAGGTAGAGGAGGAGCTGCAGCAGCAAATGGGACACGGCTAAAGACGCCCAGGAGTAAGAAAGCTTTAAGGAAACCTGAACACTTTGTTGTCACAAATGGGTCACAAGTATACAGCAGAGATTCATGATGGGTAGGAGGTGCCATGGAACCTTTGAGCAAAGCCTTTTAATCCTGTTCTAATCGTTACTTATCATTTGTACTCCAGATAATGTAGTCATTGAACTGCGTAATTGTCTGATTTAAGTTCCTTCTGCTGCCTTTTTACCACTATAGGAATATTTGAATGTCTCAGATGAACCAATTGGTTAAAGGCTTGTGTATATTAGTGAAACAAACAGTGAGTGTAGACCCACATACATGCCAACCGTACCTCACTGAACACATAAGGGCCACGGAGTTTCTGCCAAGCACCCCATTTCGCTGGCAGAGTTTCACAGCGGATAGCTTAAATTATGAATGATTTCATCATCACACAATAGTAGGATACCTGTTAGCTTAACACTAGAACTCCCAGAATTCTGATCCTACTAAAACTCCCACTGACGGTGGTGATGTCATCACCTGAGCTGCAGCCATTATGGATATGTAAACCTTATAACAAATCTAATATATATTTTTCAAAGGCTGTATTGTATGCTATTATTATTTTTGTTCTAAATTTATATCAAAAATAAATCAGTGGAGTAAGACTGTTTTACTACATAGGTTCAAAATCTGAAATTATAATTTTATTTACAGATATTGAATGATTCCCCCAAACATTTCCCACAGACCACCTTTTCACATTTATGACAAACCTAATATGAGCATTTATTTGTGCAGCGCTGAAGCACCTGGTGCTGTTTTCTGTGCCTCGCCAAAGCTGCTCTACGGTGAGGTAGGGGCTAGAAACCTGTGGTTTGCTTGCAACTGTTTTATCAGTTCAAGAATAAAATCGCTGCATAAAAAAGTGACATTCACACAGCTCCTGAAAAAAACAAATGTGTTTATATCTGATATTTCCAGGAGATCATAAATTACAGCCATGGGCCAACTTCGTGTCGGAGCTTTTACAGAATATGTTCTAATCATCTGATCAAACACATCCACGCCGACCTGTGTGTGGTCATAGTAGACTATGGGCTCTGGTTTGGCTTTTGGGTGGATGTGGACCAGTTGAGGTGTGAGCAGTGCTTGAACAAAAGTTAAATTATTGTCTGATGGGTCACTGATACGTCTGCGTTCTCCCGGGGGTGGGTGATCATCCTCGGACTCACTGTTATAATCTGAGTCGCTTCCTACCCAGTCCTCCTCATCGGTCTCTTCCCCTCCGCCCGAATCGCTATCATCAATATTTTGAAGAATTTCTAAAGCCTGTTTCATGGTTAGATTTCTTTTGAAAGCCATTTTTCCGTGTTAGCCAAAGATTCTAGGAAGAATGTTGGTTGCTAGGCAACAGTACCGAATGTCAATCATCCGAGGGAAGAAGTTACAATGAAACAGAGCCGTCAGAATGACAGCTGTTGGAGATCAGGGTAAATAACCATATTTAATTTTTAAGTTTTAATTTTATTAAGAAAACTGAAACTGAAGGAAATATAGAAACAAAAAAGTCAGTTAACATGAGCAACATAAGATTAATTTTAAATAAAGTTAATTCCCTTTAAAATGTCAGAACCGTCAAAATGATGGCTTTGGGAGTTCTAGTGTTAAAGGCACACCCTGTAACTTTTGGCCACCAGGGGCGCTAGTGCCGCAGCGCTGTCGCACAGTCAGCCGGCCAGCCTCCGGTGTCTTTTGAGGTTTCCCTGCTCTCGCACTGCTGACTTTTATTGATTGTTGAATAACAGGCTTTACACGAGTAAAAATGACATGGAGAAAAAGTCCCGAAGCGTGGGCGTAAAAGATTATCACTTCCATGTTCTACTTGTTTTGTTTTATGAAAAGTAGGAATCAGTCATATGAGTGGAGGGTCTGAGATTCACACATTCAGGCTGTTCGGTTGTTAGCTTTTGTTCATAGCCTGCTAGCTTTCTCTGGTCGTATTTTGCTTCTACTAAACATCGAAAATAATAAAGATATCTGACTATATACTAGGGGCAAACACTGCTGCTCTCTGTCGAGCACTGCCGGGGCAGGCCTGAGGATCAGCGGTGGAGCTCAGTGAACAGCCACAGCCTGCTAGCTTTCTCTGTCTGCTTTTGCTTGTACTAAATATAAAAAATAATAACAAAGATATATGAACATATACTAGGAGCAAAGTGTTAAGTTAGCAGTCTAATGAAAGAATTGATAAAAGACAATCTGTTTTACATGCGGCTTCTTCTTTCAGCCTGCGCAAACGAACCAACTCCTTTCCTTGATCGAAGGTTTAAACTTCTTCCTGTCTCAACCATGACTAGTAGTCGAGCAGGTGGGAAAAATTATAGAGCAAAAGCCTTAGCTCCACGACTATATAAGGTAGCCTGATAAACCGGAATAAATGTGAGATTAAATGTGTAATTTAGTCTGGCCCCGATGAATGAGACATTGGAAGATTGTTGATGAGAACAACCCGTTGTTTTTCAAACCATGTCTGTGCCTATTGGCCAACGCTCTGATCAATGAGCGCAACTGACTGTGACATAGTAAGAGCGACAGAAAGATGCTAGGGGAGTGTCAACAAACAGCCTGTCTGTAAAGTGGCAAATATGTCCTTCTTAAAAATGAAAGAGCGTAGGGCCTCTTCCTGCTCACGTTTCAACGAAAACCCCAAGTCTAATCCTTCCAAAACTGATTCCAAAGCAGGGGCAAACGAGAACTGTTCAATAGTTGTTTCTGCATCCAGAAATTTAAAACACATCTCTGCGTTGTGATTGGGCCGCCAGTTCTAGGGCCTGGGGCATTGATCGAGGCTAGACCACTCGCAGGCAAAAATGATTTTGGCCGCTGGTGGGTTGAGCTAGTTTACTAGGCTATATATAAGAGCCTGTAAACAATATGTTCTTTCTGGTCATGTGACCTGGCCAACACGGTGCGTCTTTATTTAATTTACATATTTGGTATTTTAAGAGAGGAGCCCCGTTTGTAACATTGATAGTCAAGCGCTGCATTTTGTCCTGAGGAATAATTTTAAATATCTCATATGTGTCAACTCTTTAGGTCACAAAGTCTGTGGTGTTCCTTTAAATAGAGCATTAAAATGGTTATTTTACATGAAGAAAGAAAATGTTGCCACGTTGCACCACGTATCTTTATTAAACAGAGTCGCGTCATCAAATGGTGAATTTTTTTCACCTCCAAATTAAATGTTTTTGTATCCATGCTGTTATATGAAATGAAATTCTCTGGTGCCTCTGTGCTGGAGCCGCAGGTAGTGTTTCTAAGTTTTAGAGTAAAATGCAGCCGACAGTCTGCAGATGCAGTCTTTAACTTTGAAACACCGTGGCTGGTCCTTCAGGGAGGCTCAGCGGTGCAATATTTGGAACTGCTCTGACAGACTAGATTGGCTGTGATCAACGGATGCAGTTTGATGGCTCTGTGCTGCTTTCATGATCTATGGAACCTCAGGGTTGTTGCTTTACTGAGGAACATTTTGTGATAATGCAGAGAAAAATTTGGTCTGCAAAAAAAACAACATAAGGAGCAGCAATTGGTGCAAATTATTAATAATTTCTGAATGTTTGTACACAGCCTTGTGTGGGACAGATTAAAATTTGCTTCCATCATTTCCTAGATTTTAAATATATATTGTTTTTTTGGAATGATGTATAAGAGAAGTATGCTGCTGTGATTGGCTAAAAGATTGAAATGGGAGGCTTCTGCCACTTGATTTACACAATTTTACTTTTAGGACGGGAGCAGAATAGAGGAAGCAAAGTAGGCACTGCTTTAAAAAATATTAGCTTTTAATGCAAAATATCCCAGACCAGATTATTTAGATGAAGCTGATTTTTATAGGTCTAAATGCTCCCCCAACTCAGTCTGGAGCCAAACTGGGTGATGCATTTTATACTATTAGGCATGAACATGATAAAACCTCATCATCGCTCATACAAGCTTACTTTCCAAAAGATTTGCAATTTTTCCACCAAGTCAGACTCGCCACCGGTAAGTGAAAATGGGGACGAGCACGTAGGACGGCCTTACGTAAACGTATCACCAGAATGATTGACAATTAGAAGAACCACTTATTTTGATGATCCACCCGGAAAAAGAACATCCTCCACTCTACCTTTAAACCCAACTTTTATTAGCTTTAAATTTCACAACTCGTATATAAGCAAGATATGTTTTTCTACTTAATCCTTCACTCCAAAAAATACAACTCCTTTCATAAAAAAAAAACATGAGTAAATTTGACTTCCATTAGCAACGTGTTCAATGGCACAAGCTTTACACCTCATGATAAACACTTTCCTTCTATCTGCTCTGATTGAGCTAATCAGCCTTTTATCTCTTAGAATCTATGAAATTAATGTGGAAATGGACTCAAGATTCTCAGATAAGGTTTTCTAACAGATAAAGAAACATTTATCAGATTAATAACAAAGGGTGGAATTAATTTCTATTCCAGTTGATAAATTCTTTTACATTTTTTGTGTTTTAGTTAATGGCGGTTTAAAAAGTCCAATCTTTATTTTAAGTAAAATACAATTATTTTGGTCTGTGAAGCACTTGAACACAAGCTTTATTCCTATATTCTCATATTATCATAATTCGGATTAATTTATCTAATGCTCTTTGTGTTCACTATGAACAATCATTACACCCTGTGAGATTTCTTCTTTAGTATTTATTTTTCTTGTACATCTTTTAGGTTTCGCATTTTTTTCCCCCTACTTGTTAATCATAACAATAATGTGTGCTTTTTCCTTTTAAACGACACCAAAAGACTTAGTTTGCTTTCACTGCTTTAGATATAAAAAGGGTAGATTTAATTTACTGATGGCAAAAATACATGATTTTGTTTGATAAATGATAAAAAGCTTGTATCTTTTTATAAATTAGTTTTGTAAATGTAAAATATAAGTTTTCTAAAGCATGGTTTTAATGTCTTGTCCGTTTCCACCTTCCTAAGCTCCCAAGTCTCCGCCTGAGAAGACACGATACGACACCTCGTTGGGTCTGCTCACAAAGAAGTTTGTGGATCTCCTCGCTCAGTCTTCTGATGGTGTTCTGGACCTCAACCTTGCTGCTGAAACCTTACAGGTGAATTCCTATTTAGAAGTCAGAACCTTGCATTGGGTTGGTGAGAAATGGGAGAACTAGGGGGGTGCTTGTAGGTAACTGAACTGAACTGGAGGGGGGACAAGGAGTGAAAAATGAAAATGTGGAGCTGTGCATGGAGAACTTTGTAGTCTGTTACTATTATGACACAAATCTTAACATGGGAGCCTTTAGGTTAACAGTTAATATGAAGATATTAAACAAAGCCCATTTATGGAGATGTTTCTTCACAGCATGCATTTTGAATTGACCGTTTCTCTCTGCTTTTGTCCATATTTGCTTTCAGGTTCAAAAAAGACGACTTTATGATATCACCAATGTATTAGAGGGTATTCATCTCATCAAAAAGAAGTCCAAGAATAACATTCAGTGGATGTAAGTGATCACAGACTTGCACTCCACCCTGTTATGTAGATGCCAAGTGAAAGAAGGCTGCTAGACTACAGTCATTTAGCTACAGCTGAGAAAGAAGCTGTTCATATCTCTTTTATTTCACCACTTATTCCATCCTATGAACTTTAGATAGGAAAGGACAGACACTTTGAGGCATCAGCTCTGTTCTTTGCTAACACTGTGCCAGTATCTTCAGTTGTTTGATAGAAAACATTGCATCACAAACAAAACTCCATGAATTTAGACAACAAACATCCTCACCAGAAAGCAGCCTCAGGTGAAACCTTGCTGTGTTTTCACTCTGCATCTCAATGCCTACAGTATTATCATCCCATTTGAGCCAAAGGAAATGCTAGCCCCTAGCTATTTGCATTCAAATCTCTGGTGCCAAAATAATGGGAAATTGTTCTTGATATCAAGATTTTCTACCACTTTACTGCCACTGACCTCAGTTTATTTTATTTGATGGACCAGCACAAAGAATACATATTAACATCTCTATACAAACGTAAATAAATCTTCCCTTTACTTTTATACCCTTTAAAAGACCATGTTCTAATGCACTTTGAGTGTTTGCACCATTCAGTGTATCAGCTGTAAATGGAAAATGCTGGCACACCTAAAAAACCCACCGTGGGACCACAGACCTATATTGACCTACATGCAAATTCATGGGTGCAATAAAGAGACTCAAGGTCCTCCAGACGTTCTTAATGCAGGTGGTAGGATTTAGGGCTAAAACAATCAGATTACTCGAGATGAATCGATTATTGCAATAGCCGCTAACTAATTTAGTAACATTCTGCATTGAAGACCTAAAAAATATTTTTAACTGCTAATATGCTCTATCCAGAACTCATCAAGTTTGAGTTTCCCCTGGTTTACTTCTGTGAAAAAAATCTTCTGTAAGGAACCTTTGGCTATTAGATTATTAATCGAAAAAATTAAACAATTTGTAAAATAGTTAGTTGCAACCCCAGCCTGGATGTCCTCTATGGAAAATTGGCTTTATGGATGACCTATTTGTCAAAAGCTGTGTAGGAGACAAAGCCACACTCTGGTGAGATGAAAACAAAGCTGACCTTATTTGCCCTCATGAAAGCTGCCATGTGTGGTGGAAAAACTGCAACAGCCTGAACACATCATCAACACTGTTAATTCTTCTCTTCACAAGCGACTAGAAAGCTAGTAAGAGTTGATGGAGAATGGGGTAAATTAATTGAAGACCAGTCCTAAGGAATGAGGATAAAAAGATGGGGGGGTTGGAGTAGAAATTCACCAGAGAGAATGAGAGGTATTGGGTTATAGAGAGCCGCTGCAGATTTTAAGATGTTCTGGGGACACCTTTGTCGTTTAAATGAATTATGGTGGAGCATGGATGCATTTTAAAGCTGCAGGACTGAGGTCCATGTGGACTGTTATAGAAAAACAGTTCAACTTTTAGATTATTTTTAAAAATAGATGAATGCATCTTTTTTTTTAATCAGTTCTTTTTGTTTTTTTTTGTTGATTGAAGTGGTTACTTTGTAACTTAATGTCGACATTATCCAGAGAGATGATCACTTTGTTAAAAAAATCTATTTTCCTTCTCCTTCTCAGGGGCTGCAGTCTGTTGGAAGTAGAGGGGGCTCTAAGCCAAAGGCAGAACCTGACAGCTGAGGTTTCTGCGCTGGGTGAAGAGGAGCAAAGGCTTGAGCAGCTCATCCAGAGATGCAGCCTGGATATAAGACACATGAGCGAGTTACCAGGCAACCAGAAATATCCTTTTTAGTTGGATTTGGATCGACACACGTGTGTGAAGATTCCTTTCATTTTTAAAATGCAGAGTTTCAGCAGGTATGTAATGTCATCAGGGTTTCCTTCTTTCACAAGGATCTCTGCTCAAAACAAACAAAAACAAACACCCTATTATTTTCTCACTGTACAACATCCATTTTAACTGTATGACTTGGATACCAAAGGTATTGATTATTTCCCAAAATAGCTACATTTCTGACATTAATTCTAGTTCCAGATGGCCGCTGAACATGTTTATATCTTACAGCTACTGTTTAATGGCGTATTGGCATAGTTTTGGTATAAAAGCAGTTCACAGGAGGAAACTCCAGACATGACGCTGAATCTGCTATGACTGCAAACCTTTCTTTTTCTTGTAATTTACTTATTAATTTATTTGGCAGGCTTTAAAAAGCAGCTAGGTTAATATCGCGATCATAGAAATCTTTGTTATGCAGACCGGTCGCCTCCGGGTGCATTGCTGCCAACCCCCCCCCCCAGGACACTAGCTTGTGCATCATTTCATGGGCATTATGCTGCCGTGTGTTATGCATAAGTTAGGCTGTCGTTGGACATAAGTTCTGGGCTCCTTATTAATACTCTATGTATATGCCCAAAATAGAAAAAATACATAGAAAGTTCAGCGTATGCCAGCGTTTAAGAAGATTCTGGGATGTTAGGATACGTTGGCTAAATTGTCATGGTGTGACGGGGGCTTTATGAAAGAAAACCAGATCAGACCAGATTCAGTTATTCATTTTTGGTAATTTATTACCAAATTGCTCTAAATCCTTGTATGTAACAAGCTTCAATAATATCAGATGTTTTCTGAAACGTTAATGCATCCTTTTGTAGTTTTACTCTAGCCTGTCCTGTGTTCATCTTGGTGATAGTTGTGTTTCTTTAACCCTGCTGTTTGCACATATGCTTATATAACGTACCAAGACATCAAACAGCTGAGGAGCCTGAGAGACCAGACTGTTATCGTCGTCAAAGCGCCAACAGACACCAAGCTGGAAGTACCGGACCCTGATGAGGTTTGTGCAAGTTCCCACAGGCTGGATGTCTTTGTTCTTTCGCTCTCCTAATCTGATGTATTGGTTGCAGTTTGCTTAGTGATGATTGACAAGAGCCACTTGTTAGTGCTGTACTGCACTGTAGGCCGTGGATATTATCTGTATTTATATGTCGTTTATATGACGTCTTTTTGTGTCTCTGTAAACTGGAATGTTTTTAACAACTCCACAGTTGTTAAAAACTGCATCCTAGTTTCAGATTTTATCAAAGTTTATTTGCTGAAAGTATGTCTGGATCTGTTGGCAATGTTTGGATCGTATTTATTAGCGCTAATTTAAGGATGACTTGTGACTACATTTGTTGTAAATCCAGTGGTTCTGTTTTTTTTTTTCTTTTCTCCAGAGTCTGTCCATCCACCTCACCAGCACCAAGGGTCCCATTGAAGTGCTCTTGTGCCCAGATGAGGAAAATGAAATAAGTCCTGTAAAAAATGGCAGCACAGACATAAATGGAAACTCACCTTTCCTAAAAGTTGTCCAAGGTCTGTTTCAGATACCAGTGAAGTACTTCACAAAAAGACTAAAGATTGTATAAATATTAGACTGTTAAGTTCATTTATAGATGGCTCTAGTTTATCCTTATAAGATAAGAGTAGATAATCTTTAAATAAGTTCAGGTTTTATAAACATTTTGGGTTGAAAAGAGGAGTCAGAGTAGTCAGAAAAACTTTTATTTGAAACAGTTGCACGGAGAGGTAACACGGAGAGAAAAAAAAATTAAAACAGGGTTTCTGTGGATCATTAAAAGTAATTAAATATTTTTTTAGATTAAGGCCTTAATTGGCATTCAAATTAATTAAATGTGATAATTGTGGCATTTAAAATGCTTTATTTAAAAAAAAAAAAAAACGATCATAAAAGCAATTTTGTCAGATATATTTCTATATGTTTGTGCAGAAGTGATACCGGTTGATTGTAAAGTCGAATGTTCGGAAAAGAAGCTCGAGGCGGAGAAAAAGCTAGAGAATGGGGAAAATGCTAATTTCAACAAAAGTGGCTGGAAAACCAGGGATTCAGGACAAGGCTGCAGCCTGTCGACTGTAAATACATAAATATATATGAGAGTCATGGGTACTTGTTGATGGCATTAAAATTATTTTTAAGAGCATTAAAAAGCATTAAATTAGAGTTACTCATTCCTGTATAAACGCTGTAAAATGATTATAGTCATGGTTACATCTATCAGTGGACAAGACGAAAAGATTTCTAAAATAACAATCACTTAAGACAACATTTTTTTTTTTGCATCTTTACTACTTTATCAGATGTTAAATCCCCTGATACTGCGCTAGTCTAGCGCTAGCGCTACCCTGTTGCACTTTTTAAATGGATGCTAACTTATTAAATAACCTGCAAACAAAACAGAAGGATGTAATATTGAAAGAAGTTTGTTAAACCTGAAACGATAAAAAAGATAAAAACGGATCATAATCTGTTTATAAGAAAAAGAACAGGTCGTTTTAGGATTCTTTAAAAGAAAACATTAGATTACCTTGATGCAGTTCATTTGTTTTAAGAGCAGGTTTCATAGATTAATCACTTATTATAAAAACGTCACAATAACTATAAAAAGCTTTACTATAAAAACGTCACTAACTATAAAAAAGTGATTAATACAGTTATGTATCTCATAATAAGATAATAAGCTGGTAAATCTCTTATCTACACCATAAATGGAAAACACTTTTCAGGGCTGTACACTTGGCTTTTTTTTTTTTACCAGGAGCAATAGGGCTCCCAAATAAAAATTCACTATGAATTTTTTTAATTTTCTTCCTTTTTTGTATTATTTAACAAGTTTGACAATTACTGTTTCATGAGGCTGTCTTTTTTTTCAAATGTAGGTTTCCAAATACAAATGCTGAATTACCTGTCTGCTTCTGCTCTTTGCAATATCAGGTAGTCCTTAAACTCAGTCCAATGGAAGAGTTGGATCCGCTCTTATTTAAACTTGTAAACCTTGTTAGATGTGTAGCTTAAATCATTAACACACAAAACGGTGTGTCCTGACACTAAATCAATTTTATGTTATAAAATTTAACTTGAAGGCAGTGACCTCCTTGGCCAATCCAGTGGGAGGGATAAAAGCCACCTTTTGTCCCCCTCTAAAGGCCTGGTTATACTCCCTGCAGCAGTGTGTCGCAGTGAGCTTGTCGCTGATACTTTTGATTTATGTTCAATATTGAAGCGTGGTCTGCGCTGTTATTCCACCCAACAACCCAAGAGGGGCAATCACGACCTAGCTTTGGGTCTAGATACTGCCGAGGTGGTGAGGAAGTGGGGACAAGTGTGTGCGACAACGGAGGGACATGAGGGCGAAAAAGAGCGGGGATGCTAATGGAAAAAGGGTCACAGTGTTTTCGCGCACCTCGCTGTTCTAGCTTTTCCAACTTCATGAGTCGTTTTCCTCAATGACGGTCATAAAAACAAAACAAGCTGGTAAGGTACCAAACAGGAAATACGCATAGTGTAGAGCAGATGTAGATTTGACCAATCAGAGGCCTCCTGTCTGTATTCACCTACAATTTTGGAGAGGTGCAGCAGATTTTCTCCGGCAGGGCTGGGGGCACATTTGCATTCACAGTGACACACGCAGACAACCTGGTTTCTGAGTATAAATCAGCCTTAACTCGTTGTTACACCTACGGTATATTAATCGCAGTGCTCCCCACTAGGGGTGTGCAAAATAATCGTCATGATGATGC